AACATATCAATCTATGTGTTCCTTAATTTTCGTTTCTGCCCTTCCATTATTTAACTCAAGAAAAAGTTCAAAAAAATGGGTAACAATTGCATCGAAAAGATAAAATCGAGTGCACCTTTTTATGTTAGGGCGTGTTTGAGTTCAATATTTTGTCTTGAAAACGTATAAAGCAAAAGTATTTGATACATCATCTCGCTTCAGATTGACTTTATAACATCAAAAGTTCACAGTACTAAACAATTAAATATATGGGTCAAGTGAAATACCTTTCTAATGAATCACAAAAACGGGGTAGGTGTGTTCGAATAGCAAATTTTTACTAAAAGTACTTGACGACTGACTTTTAAGTTGGATCTTAAAAATGCATATCTTCGAAAAAACTTCATTTTTTGTGTGTGATAATTAGGGTTTATAGTCTTCAACCACTGAAAATGTTTAGTCTGCCCTTCCACGAAATATTTAATTAGAATTTTTTTTAAATGTTTATGAATTTCCGAAAATTCGACCTGACAACCGATCCGACAATAGTTTTAAGTTGACTGAATGCAGACAAGTACATTAACTGATGCTCATTAGCTAGTAGATACATTTGTCTTTTAAAATACACCTGGCATATAAGGATCGTAATGGTGCTATGTGGATAAATTTAACGGTTTTCAAGAGCTAAATTGGAAGCGCGTCATCCCTACAATGGCTTCCATTTTTTACGATTGTAAAAATGAATTGGCGTAATGGGGAGATAATTTTGACGAAGTAAAATCGTGACTGTCTACTACTGAGTCAATGATTCATCTACCAGCAACACATCGTCGAGGTTAGCGGGCTGCCCAGCTGATCAACCTGGCCTTGAAAGCAGCCGTTGTGGAGTCCAGATTGCAAAGAAAACATCAAAATAGTAAATAATCAAACCAAAACATCTCACGTAAACCAAGATGGCCGCCTACCAAAATGGCGCCTTTCACCTATTCCTGACCAACTACAACAGAAAATATTCAATGCTCAACAACCGCCTCCGGGCACGAGCCGACCATGCGAGGGCTGTATAGCCAGTCAAGGTCGTTAAAAACTCCTATCATCAACAATGAAACATGTAGATTTAATCATAAATTTCATATTCTTAACTGTTATTCAAACAATGTGATATCAGATATACTCGAATAGTTTTTCATGTCAGTGTTGTGTAAAAAGAGGTCAAATAAATAACTGCAGTGAAGATCAATAATAATTTACTCCTACTTCCCAAATGTGTCAAATGATGTCGTCAAGAAAGCCGTTTGTGGGGCAAATTTTCATTGTATAAAAAACATGTTTTTAACTTATTTGTTTTTAATTTTCCTTAATTCGGAACGTTATAACACACAATCTGTCATTTCTCCTTGAGTTTATCGAGTAGACCCTAAATGAGAATAGTTCAGGATAACCGATATAAAGTTTTCATTAACTAGGTTTGTCATCTTTCTGTCACAGAATAAGTGACCTCCATAGCAAGGAGAATATAATTTATAACACATGCGGAGTTTTTTTTATCTTTTTTTTTCGATTTTCATTCTCCCTGGGCCTGACTTTCCAAACTACTTCGTCATAAAAATTAGATTAATGGACTTCTCGATCCCGTTCTTTATTAAAAAAATTACTCTTTGGATATCTCCTAATGATTTTGATTCACTTATTTTCGTGGGTACCAATTTTCGTGGATTGATTTCAACGTTTTGCTTAAATCAGCATATGTTCCTATAGAATATTTGTAATTCGTTGAACATTTAAATTCTTGGTTTTCTCGTACTAACGAAGTCAACGAAAATTGGTATCCAACAATTTATAACGAATACATAGTAGTCCATGAAAGGAGTACTTTATTTGTATAAGAGTATACCACTCTCCAGGGGCCAACACGGGGTTATCAGATTTATGTACAGATCAGATACAGCAATTGTGAATGGCTATTTTGATATCTCCTAATAGTTGATGAAAGGGGTACTTCATTTGCATAAGAGTATACCACTCTCCAGTGACCAACACGGGGTTATAAGATTTATGTACAGATCTGACACAGCAATTGTGAAATATTCAGTGAATGTCAACAATTTTGCTTTATCATCTCAAGTTGACTGTTTTGATGTTGTATCTTGTTAGTATTAATTTTATCTCAAAACATGACAAGACGCATATGTAAGTTTTTATTTACATTGTATTTTTATCATTTCAGAGATCAGGGATAAACTATTTTTATCTACTTTGTACCTGAATGACCAATGGTACTCATGTTTGTCAAGTTGAAAAATGAGACGATTTCTAAATATGTCTAAAATATAAGGTTAATTGCGTTATTTTCATATAATTACGTTAAGTGGTTCTTTATTAACAAAAGTGGAATGAAATTGTTGCTTGGTGGGAGAAGAATTTCACAAATAATACATCAGGTATATGTCATACGTGTTAGAATACACTTTTGTTTATATTAATCAAACTTCATACAAAGGAATGCAGTACTCTGAATGAGGGGTCCTTCAATTCTGACTCTTTAATTTTTTAAGCCATTTTTCTCTATTCTTTGTAATTTTCCCCCATTATTCTCTTTTGTTTTTATTTCCGCGCCATAGAATTTAACGTCCCCATTTCAGTCGGACGTGAATGCGTACATGTATTTATACATCCCATACACGAATGCGTATTTATACATCCCACACAGGTAAACGGACACCTCTTCATCATGCATATATGAGGGTCTGGGTTTTGGAGGGAGAGGTCCTTCATTTCTGTATTCTTTAATTATTTAGGTCATATTTCTTTATTCTATTTTTGCCCATTATTCTCTATTCTTTATATTTTAGCACTTCATTATTCTCATTCTTTATTTATTTTGGTCCATTATTCTCTATTCTTTATAGTTTTTGCCACTTAATCTCTATTCGGTAAACCCCCATCTACACCCTCATATATTCTGTTTTTAAATCAGTAAAAGAGTTCAAAATTTTTCAAGGTGAGTACTCGTCAAAGAGCCCGTCATATTAAAATCGTAATTTGAATTCATATTTAGAGGAGATATCGTTCGATTCCTTAAACAGTTCATACAAACTTTATTGTCTAGAAATTCAATATGGATGCACTTGCTTTTTATACCCCAACCACTAAAATATAATTATCTTGGTATTATTTCTGTTTCCACCAATCTTGACTATGACTTCAAATTGATTGAACATTTGTTCGCTTAGTGTTAATAAATGTATATGGTATAAAGTGTGAGGACGATTGCTTTTATAATTCGTATTCAAGTGTTTGGTTTTCTCTGAATGTCATATATACTTGAAGATGTAAACACTGATTCCAATTTTAGAAATGACCGCTGATTGAATGATGCATGCTTAACGTCCAGTAGCAAATGTTTCATGAATATTCATGATGAGAACCTAGATATCAAACAAACAAAAATACAAAAATACCTCAAGCAAACACAATTAAAAATACCCGTTGAAAAAAGACACGAAAAGTAATTTATGACTTCCTAGGATACAAGTTTGTACTTTTAAGTGAATATTACACTTTAGTATAGCAAGAATAAATTATGCATTTTTTAAAAGGTACACTTGAAATATACAAATAAAAAACTAGCTAAAGGATGTATATCTCATAAATCTTTTCGTTCGTAATTATGCTAATGTATGTATTTTATATTTCAAAGCATTATTAGATAGTTTGAAATAGGAGATAGACATACTCAAATCTAAATAACGGTGTATTTTTAATTTCGGATTTCATTTTGTATATATAAGAAGAAACAGAAAGTCATGAGAAAATTTGTGAACAAGATATGCAAGTCTTAAAAAGAAACAATTTATGTACACGGCGTTTAAAAATTCCATTTTAAGTCTATTATCAATTCAGCGAACGCACATTGTAGTTGTATTATTGCAACTTACTCTGTTTGTAAGGTTGAACTTAGTCTAGCTTCAATTTGCCGTAATTAGTAGTCATATGTTCTATTGATCTCAATTTCACGTATCTCTATTTACCTCAATTTCACGTATCTCTATTGATCTCAATTTCACGTGTCTCTATGAAACATCTATAAAGTAACAGTGAACAATTTATAAATTCCTCAATTATCACCATTGAGAATAGAAACTAATCATCATGATCAAAATAATAAATGTTAAATATTGCTTCAGAAATGACTGACTTTGAGAGCCGATATGTAACTAGTAGTGCCTTCAGTTTCTATTTTTGCACTAGTGTGGCCAGGGCTGAATTGCAATCACGTTGTTCGTCCGTCCGTTCTTCGAAGGAGTTATTTTGCAACACGTTTCTAAGAGACTACAGAACAGAAATATTTTGTCAGCAGCTTGACAGTGAGGGGTTGTAACGTGTGATCATTTTTTGTATCTGTCGGATACCTATACTTCCTGTTTGCCGATACTTTGAACGTTTTAATATGCTGAATGAGCAAAAAATATCGTCAGACATTTCTCCAATACTACTGAACAGAATGACTTCATAGTTGATCAGCAGCTCAACATTGATGAGTTATAACACGTGTTTGCTTTTCAGACATGTCAGACACCTACTTTTTGTGTTCTGATACTTTGAATTACGAATAGGGGTATTCTTGGTACGACAACACGCGCATTCTTGTTTTAATCGGAGTAAAGTTAAAAAAAAAAAGATATGAATATTTAAGGAATGACTATAATATTTTTTTTTGTCTATGAAGAAATAACATCAAAAATGTGGTGTACACTGAATGATCCGCGTAGCGTGTTATTTAAAAGTGTGCACCACATTTATTTAGGTTATTTCGAATAGACAGAAAAAATATTTCAGTCATTTCTTATAATTTGATTCTGAATTCCATTTTAAGGAGTAAATCATGATAAAACAACTGTTGATGACGTCACGGTCACATGACAAAATTATGTCTATGAGCTGATAAACAAAAACTTTCAGCCAATCAAAAGACGTGTTGCATCCAAAATTAAATTATTCACTGATAATGTATGAGCAAATTAACGATAATATATTGATTTATTTCCAAAGTCATATAAAATATTGTTAATACAACATATCAATAACAAATATAATATAATACATTCATATAAAACATATCTCATTTACACATTATATATACAAGAGGTAATTATAATAAAAATATCAAATATGCCAGTTTCCATAATGACCAGTTCAATAGTACATTATCCGTTTTGTTCATATGACAATAATTATTATGTTATGTTCATTATATGGGATGATTATGCCAACCTTTGTTTGTAGCATTAATCGTAGATGTACAACGTTTGAGATTTTTTGTTATTTTCTCATTTTGACTCTTGAGAGTTCCCGATGAATTTTGCAACAGGTGTTGCGTAAAAAGAAATAAATCCAATGTTATATGTTTAAGTCTTATTTCATTGATGGACGTTATGGCAACAAACAGGTTTATAAACGTATAAATTCGTGTCATGACGTCACGTGTATGCATTATTATTCAAACAAAATGTTCTGTAACTGTTCATGAAATATTTGAGTTGACATAATTTTTTGAGCATTTCTTGGGGAATTATTAGTAACGTTTATATGATTTTTGGGAGTTTATTGATGTAAAAACTTTTACTCCCAAACTTAACATTAATAAAGGTTCTCTAGACATCATTGATTTCGGTTGCGAGTGAGTCTGCCGAGTTTATAAATAGATAAACTCCTGTAAGATAACCTTATTACTTAAAAGTCCAATATAATAAAACAAAGCCGGAAGTCAGAGGCCAATAAAACAACGACGCATATAATCAATCACAAACAAACAAACAAAACAGACTAATACAAACAGAACACATTATCGGTAGCTATGGATAATACGATTATACTGCTTTGAACGCGACTCATATGCATTATAGTGCAATTTTAGTAAAATCTCCTTGTTTATTTTTCATCGATTGGCATAATTGATTTACGCAAACCTTCACCTTTCACCCTGAATTAATTACAGGAGTCGTTCAACCGTCACATTCAGTTATCATATTCGGTTAATGTCTAGGAACCTGAAAAACTTTAACACTACATACAAAATGCAGCTATTTATCTGTTTATTTTGCTTTTTCAACTTCTTCATCTGATATTGAGGCAATGACATCAAATACTTTTGTCCATGCAGTTTTATGTAGTTCTGTCACTTTTCCATTCGTCTTTTCTTCAAGAAGTTCAACGAATGGAGGAACAAGCCACTGAAAAATATATCATCATGAATCGAAATGTTCATAATAAATCGATACATTTTCATATAAATCGATACATTTTCATATAAATCAATATAAATCGATTCATTTTCATATAAATCAATATAAATCGATTCATTTCCATATAAATCAATATAAATCGATATATTTTCATATAAGTCGATACATTGTTTTACACCCAAATATGTTGTCAACAAAATTGAAATTAACAAACACGAACATAGATTTGAACCATTTGTAAATGTTAAATGCTGCTCACTTACTGATATATGCAACCGTTCACTCAATATCTACTTTTCTGTGTAGTGTTTTGTGTTTTGTTGTTGTTATTCGTTTTTTAGCCATGTTGTTTTCTTGTGACTTATGACTCTCTATGATCCCTTGAAATCTTATCCCTTTGTTTGATTTTTGAAGTATTTGCTAGTACTGGTGTCGTGAAATCGATTTATCCTGTCGATATTTTATCTTGTAAATTCCTGAACAAAATCTGGAGTATGCCAATCGTTTGTTAATTGTTTTTTTTTTGTTGTATTTGAAATATATTAAGTATACATGAGAAAATCCCAAGAGAAAAGTTGTTCCCCACCAAAATATTGGATGAGCAAAGAAAATAGAATCGGTTTACCACACTGCCTATTTTGGGGTTCTCTTCGCGGTTCTCGTTTAAGCCATGTCGATTTCTTTGAAAATCAAGACAACTTAATTTTAAAATGTTAAAGTGTCAAAATTAAATTGAAGGATAAAACATAATATGTACATTGTCGGGAAACATAAAATGTATTTGTACTCGTTACAAATTAGGAGAAAAGCTCAGCGAGCCTCGCATTTCGTCCTGTTTCTAAAGTTCGTACAAATGAATGATATATTTGCCAACAATGTAAAGATATTGTTTATGTACTCACCTTCACTTCTTTTCCACCAACATTTCTATCTACATGATTCCGCGCATTCTTCCGAATTAACTCTGTCAGCGTTTCGAGATCATCTAGATGGTCAATATATGATTTTATAGCATAGAAAACCGATAACGCATGCGCACGTAATTTTTTATGTGCTTTCACTTCTTCAATTGTTAATCCTTTGAAGTCTTTGAATTTATCTTGTGCTTCAGGAAATTGGGTGAAAAATCTGAAAAATAAAAATATCTTATTGTATATGCAACAGTACTATTATAACATTTTATGAAGAATTGTTGTAGTTTTCAGCATTACTGACTGAGGTATATTAGCCGATGAATTTTGTGTGTCATCATCATTAAACGAATTGACAAAAAAAAAGACAAAACAGCAAAGAATACTACGAAAATCTCTTTACATTACAATTAAAATACTTTTTTGTACGTACTGATGATGTCATGTTCTAGAAACTATGATATTCGATAGAATATATATTCCGTACCTCCTCTATGTTTCTTTTGATTTCCGAACGGTATTTTAATATTGCTTTATATACAATTGCGGTTTGACTTTTTTTCGTTTTGGTTAACTGTTCTATCACGTCCATATGCAATTATGCTTTGCTATTATTTAACTTGATGAATTTTATAACAATTAAAGACAAGTGTCGGATTTATGGATGCAGAAGGTTGTTGCACTAATTAAAGAAATTTATTTCCACACGAAATCATATATTAAAACATTCATAACGGGTTCCGCGGAACCCTGTGTCTCGCCTGCGATAGCTGCTGTCAGTGTTAAAGTGTAATGTCGACTTAAAAAGTGAGTCAATTTATCAGTAAAATACAGAATTTATAAAAAAATTCAAACTTTTTCTTTAGATGCTATCTTTTGGTCTTGAAGATGAGCTTCTGTACAAGTTTTATAACAATCCATTAAGGTTTACAAATTTACTGTCGACTGTAAAAAATGAAGTCCATCTATCAGAAAAATGAAAAAAAAAAATTTCTAAGCTTTGCTTCAGACTTTACAAATCTCTTAATCGTTAAGAAGCTACTGCCAAAGTTTCATAAAACTCTATGAAGGTTTGACAAAGTAATTTATGTGTAACAAACTTTAACCACAGACTGTACCTACTTGACAATGTTAACTGTAAAAAAACTAAGTCCATTTATCAGTAAAATACGGAAAAATGAAAATAAATAGTTGCAAAGTTTTGCTCTGGATACTGTATTTTTGTCATAAACAAGCTTCTGTCCAAACTTTATAAAATTCAATGAAGGTTTGACAAAGTTATTGATGACTGAAAAACTTTAACCTCAGACAAAATCTGAAGTTAACTGTAAAAAAAACTAAGTCCTTTTAATAGTAAAATACGGAAAAATGAAAATAAATGTTTTCAAAATTTTGCCATGGATACTGTATTTTGGTCATAAACAAGCTTCTGTCCCAATTTCATAAAATTCCATGTATGTTTGACAAAGTTATTGATGTCCAAAAAACTTTAACCACAGACTGGTCCTAAATGTTGACGCCGCAGAGTCCACGCCGACGACAGAATCTAAGATCGCTATGTCTCGCTTTCGCGTAATAAATTTCGCAAGATCGACAAAAAACCATCATTATCATTGTGACATTTGCCTCGTTCGCCTTGGTACCTTTTTTACCATGATGCAGTCACAAATCCTTGTGCGCATTTCTGCGCGCACGACACGTGTTTATAAAATAACCTGGTTTGGTCGAGAAAAATTTCGAAAGCTAAAAATATAAAAGATTTTAGAGCATACGAATCAAAAGATTCATAACGTTAGAGGTGAATTTTCCTGAGGAAGTTAGGATTTTTTAGCTATACTTTTCTTATCATATATCTCTTTTTCAATGACAGCCAGAACTTTAAAAAGTAAATCTGTTTTTCCTATACGCGTTTCTGTAACTGTCATCTAGGCACGAACAAGGTGTATTTAAATAAATGTGGTTTATAAAATGTCAGCATTGTTTATACTTATCGGTATATATTTGAAATATTGGGCTGTGGTTCAATGCGAAAAGGATTACATTACGTTTAACAAAGACCTCTGTCATAAAAATCTCTCTCATAACTATCTTGATTCTTTACCAGCTTGGAGTTGTAGTATACCATATTTAAGTAGACTTTTTTAATTTGGTGGATATCATGTTTGAAAAATTATTCTAGACAGTTGGGTCAAATCTAACAAAGATAACGATATGAATAATTTTATAGTTAGTTGGAAATGCGATATTGGGTGTTAGTTTAGATTGGTTTTGTCAAAGCGTTTATATTACATCATTAATTCTACCTTGTCGGGCAAAGCTCCAACAACCATGCAACTCAAGGCTTACTTTAACCCAACATTTTCTTCGTAAAATGCATGTACCAGTCAGGAATATGACAGTTATTTCCCATTCGTTCAGTTCATTGATAAAGTCTAACGTTTGATTCTGTCAGTTTTTATGGACTTCCCACTTTATGAATTTACGTGTTGGAGTTCGGTATTTTTGTTATACTTTTTTATTATATTTAAGAAAAGGACAACTCTAATAATGTTATTAATATAATACCTTCATACGAACGTACTATACAAAAAACGGTGAATAGTGTCTCACAGACACCCTTTTGAATATAGAACGTGCCTTGCTTTATAAGTAGTCATATCAGGTTAAACTTATAATAGCTGTAACTTCCAGAATATGTCAAATATTTGGGTATTTTGGGTACTTTATGAAAGATTAAAAGGACTTGGGTTCACTGTCAAACCTTTGCTGCGTTGTTTATTTTGAATGATAGCAAATGTATGCAGTTAATATAATGGGAATATTTTTCGTGTTTTTCATATCATTACTTTCTTCAGAACATCCGGCAACCAGTGCGTTCTTAATGTGTATGTTCAAGTTAAGTTCTATGGACGACCGTATCATTATGATAATTTATAGTCTTAATAAGTTTTGCGAAAGTGCGACATGTAACCCTTTCATTATCCGCTTACATAAAATTACAGTTAAAAAGGAATTTATTCTGAAATCTTACTTTACAAAAAATTCTATTCCATTATTTTTCTTGTCACTCCAAACAAGGGCCCAAGTCTCATGAATGGCATTAACTTCCTCTTTAGTCAGCGGTGAATCGGAATCAGATCCATTTGTTGATCCGTTCTCTGTCATTTCTACCTGAAAGAATAAAATTATGTTTAAAACAAGAATGTGTCCATAGTACACGGATGCCCCACTCGCACTATCATTTTCTATGTTCAGTTGACCGTGAATTGGGGGTAAACACTCTAATTTGGTATTAAAATTAGAAAGATCATATCATAGGGAAGATGTGTACTAAGTTTCAAGTTGATTGGACTTCAACTTCATCAAAAACTATCTTGATCAAAGACTTTAACCTGAAGCGGGACAGGCGGACGGACGAACGAACGGACGCACAGACCAGAAAACATAATGCCCCTACTACTATCGTAGGTGGGGCATAAAAATAACATCTAGAAGGCAACATACAGTAAGTGGGGCATAAAAATGTTTAAATAATGTTGATTTCTATATAAGAACAAGGAGATGGTGTATTACTGCCAATAAAGTAACTACCCATAAATGAACAAATATAAAAAAATGTCAGCAATATCAAGTGACTTTAGCAATGAGCAAACTCATAGCAATTAAAGGCCTCGGAACGACAATATGTTAAACGGATCAAAAGTAAAAATTGATCACCTGATTGATGCTGCAACACTAAACAATCGTGTCAGACAGAAACCAACCACTATAACACAGGATTCTGATCTGCATGAAAAACGCAAATAGAATGTGATTGTGAGCGATCAAACCTCTCCTAACCTGAGACAGTTGATGTAACAAAATTGCATAAGAACAAACTGTAAAAAATCAATCGGAAAGACATATACTCATCAGAACGGTACTAAGCCAAAAAACAAATAACAAAAAGACTAAAGGCACAAAGTACCAATCTTGGAGTACTCGGAGTTACTGAAAGCTAGTTCAAAGACCAATCTCACTCCTGTTTTTTCTCAGTATCACTGATATGTTTTAGTCTATTGGTAGCAAAGCAAACCTAACTTCTATTATATAGAAACATAACCGAATATCTGCAACAGTTGGCTATCAATAGGTGTCAAATCAGTTAGCTTTTGGTCATTTAAATTGGTCAACTTGTATAAACGGAGATAACTCTTTAAAATCAGTGACGCGTTTGTAATATCCAGTTTCATGGATGCTTTTTAAGCATTCAATAAAACAGAATTAAGATAGTCTGTGTTACTTTAAAGCTTGTAATATACCAGTGATTTTAAAGAGTAATGTTCGTTACCAAAGTCTATCCTTTTTTGGTGTGGATAAAAAGTCAATTTCGTGCGTTACCCGCAATCACTTTATCCTTTCCGCAAAAAGTTCACGTAAAGTTGTTGAATCTTTTGACAAATTTATGCGAAAGTCTACAAAAAGGATTATAATGACATGATACACTTTAAGAGCTTGGAGTATGATTCTAAGTAGCAGGTGGAAGTTAACCGTGGATGACAAATTGTCCATATTATTCATTAAATGTCATTTGTTCTTTAAGAAGTAAATATGCTTTTATATACATGTCTAACATAACATATAGAGATAAGTCAGATAATGCGCGGGAAAAATTCCTGTACAAAATGAAAATAGTGTACATTATAGTCAGTATAATACTAGTAAAATCAGGTCAGTGCGTTTATTTTAGACCGTCAACACACATTATGTTTAACGCGGAAATATATAAGCATGCGTAGCAACTGATGAAAATAAATACTTTAGTAGTCAATCCACAAAAAAAAAACTCCTGGCCTATCCAAAATATCAAATGGTCATCCCCTTATATATTTTGAAAATCATACAACTCTAAGGTGAATCATAATTGCTTAAAATTATCATGAGAAGTTCATGGATCTGCGCGGATTTTCTTTGGTCGCGTTTCTATGGTTCAATTTGTGTTGGTTTATTGGTAGAAATGTCGTTTAAATAGTATGCATACAAGAAAACCTCGATTAGGTCTACCACAAAACAAGCAACTACGAGTACATTCAATTTTTAAAACTTTATTTAATCACATAAATGAGATTTCAACGGTTTTTTTAAATGCGATGTGAAAGTAATGTTTTCTCAAAGAATACAATACAGACCAGAAAAAAAGACACAGTCCACTACAAGTATATTGTACTTGCACGGTGTGCATACGTTGCTTTTCAAAAGTAAACGTAATATCCTATTATTATACTGGGGTTGTAAGTGTCATTTAAAGTTATATAAAGTAATGTTATTTTAGACATCCTTTTATTGACAAAGCTAATTGAAATAATTTGAAATTCATTTTCATCTTTATACCTCATTATCATGACATATCTAATAACGAGATCTGACGAAGATAAAATCTTCAAATTTAAATAAAGTTTGGTATACATTTATCATAATATCTAAAGAATAAAAACCTAATTGTAGTATATACACGTACAAGCAATATATATTATTGATGAATAAAGATAAATAAAATAATGAGCTTCAATAATCAGAAAATTATTCCTAAAGCCGTGTTGTGTGCGATTAAAATATTTGACAATATTAAAATAAGAAGTTTATATTATGTTAGTGCCTATGATATAAGAAATCTTACTTGTTTGAAATATATAATAAAAGATTACCAAAACCGACTAACAGTCAATACATTTATTAGAATATTTGAAAATTCGAAAATTTTGACAACATCCGAAATGCACTTTTAGATGGAAAAATGTCAAGAACTCAAACAACATAAAAAGATCAAAACAGCGGATACGTACAAAAAAATGAAAAAAAAATCAATTAAAACTCCAAAAATGTAATGATAAGAAATACAGGTAGTATAATATAATTTATCAAATACCAGCAATTGGGTTGCACGTATGTTCAAGATTACTCTCATAGTTAACTTCCAATATACATTCCAGAGATCATACATTAAAGGAGTCATTCGAAATTGTGATTATCCATTCCCCAAAAATTTAAAAGACCACCAGACGTGAAATATATTAGATAAAATCGTTTGTCGAAAGGCGTACCGGATAATTGATACAATGATTGTATTAATAAGTGTTCCATAATTCACATACGGGCCAGCCTCTGCAGCGCACTTACATGTTCCAGATCAGTATCATCAAAAATAATAAGATTCTTTATACGAAAACCATTTTCTGGCAATATGATCATAGCTAGTTTTAAACCATTCAATATTTAAGAGTACATATTAGGTAAACAATACTGAAACTCGATTTAAAAAGACACCTGTGGATAAGTCCAACTGTAATATGTATATTAAACAAAAGAATCAAGATTTGGAAACGGCACACATGTTGTGTCTAAGATAATATCTGGTGTAATTTTAAAGTCTTTTATGACGATCATTCAATGGTGAAAAGTTTAAAAAAAATACTTACAAGCGAACATAGTAGTACTATAGAATGCATAGACAACTTGACAGTACAAATGGTATGAAAAGAGCGATGTCATTGAGGAAGTATCCAAGTATTTCTACATCATATATAATGATAACAAGATGATTTTGTTCGTTTTTATCTAAAAAGAATGTTAACAAAGCTTCAAGATATTTTAAATGGTGTTTTTGTGTTTTAAACGTTTAATATTATCTGAGTGAAGAAAAACTGCTTTCTTTACAATATAACATGATTTTTAAAATTAGATTGCAAGATTGCATTTAAAATAAACCTTTAATTTAAAAAAAAAGGCTTTTTAAAACATGCACATTACAAGTACGGAAAACTCGAAAAAAAAACCTGAACACATCAATCATTAAAACTTTCATGACTATTATTTTTAACATCTTGTCAAATACACTTTATAAAACAAGATAACCTCAACCATGCATGTAAGATAAACACAATGTAAATGGAAATAGAAAAATATAAAACAATAAATTAAGACTTACCCGATTAGAGATAATCCTGGTTAGTTATATATACAATGGTGATAGTTAAGCCGAGTGTACAAGATTTTTTTAGGTTAACCACCCTCTTATATGTCCCTCTTATACGTATCAGTAAAACTAAATAGCCTATGGACAGGTAGCTTTGACAGTAATCTGATCGCACCGCAATGTTTGGGAGATCTTTTGTAAGGAGATACAATTTGTTAGGTAGTCGGCATAGAATGGATGTGAAGGGTTATATTCACAAACCACCACAAATTACCCACTAAATTACAATGAAATGTTGGTGAGAAAATTGATATATTAACATAGTACTATAAAATTATATATAGTCATACCTATCACATGTATAGTATACTAAGTAGGTAAAAAACGCGTAAACATATGTTATCAGTTCAGAGTAATTAAATACATTATTCTCTTATTTGAAATTCAATTTTACAAGAAACTCTGAATAAATGCATCTTATTTTTTCCTGAAATAATTGACCGTCAAAAAAGACTTTACGCTAAAAATCACAAGTAAGCACAGTTAGTCATTTCCTATTAATAGAGCGCAGAAAATAAAAAAAAACTCTCCAAAATACTAGTATTTGAATGTTTCTGATCCGCATGAAGCACCGGGCGAGTTATTCGTTAAAAACAATTATAATGGTATGTGACCCAATAACAGAAAACGGGAAAATCCGTACGGATTACAAAATATAGTGTTTTTGGGTAATATTGGTATCTTTTTATAGCTGATTCATTAGTATATGGTATGGGTTTGCACTTTGATGAAGGCCTTGCGGTGACCTATAATTGCTTGAAATAAAATTATTTGGACTCCGTTGGAAAGTTATCTCATTGGCAATTTGGCGACATCTTCTTATTCTATATACGAGAATTGAAATAGAAAAACCACACACACACACACACACAGATAAAAAACAAAGAAAATTTGAAAATTCGTTTTTTTTAGAGAATCGAATATAATACCCTGAAATCTCTGCATATTTTTCGTGACAATAGAACTGAGTTATGATTTTTCAAAACAGAAAAATTAATATAGATAACTAGATATAAGAATATGTGGTATGAGTGCCAATGAGACAACTATCCATCCAAGTCACAATTTTTAAAAGTAAACCATTATAGGTCAAAGTACTGCATTCAACACGGAGCTATGGCTCACACCGAACAGCAAGCTATAAAGGGTCCCAAAAATGACTAGTGTAAAACCATTCAAACAGGAAAACCAACGGTCTAATCTATATAAAAAACGAGAAACGAGAAACGCTTATGAACCACATCAACAAACGACAACCACTGAACATCAGGTTCCTGACTTAGGACAGGTGCAAACAAGTTTGTATTTACGAAACAATGCTAAACATACGCAAGTATAGAAAATAGTTAAACAATTCACGTTTGTTCATTGTCATTTTTTGATCGTTGCTCAGTATACTATGTAACAGTGCATTGTTTATGTTGGAATATGAAAGATGAAATAGATCATATTGTTATTATAGGCAGAAACTTGTAATATTTACAACTATATTAATAACCCGGTATTCACCTGTGCATTTCATTTCGCCATTAATCATAACATTATTTTAGGGTTACAAAGGTCAAGGACATATTAAAAGACATAAGAATTCACCTGTGCATTTCATTTCGCCATTAATCACATCATTATTTTAGAGTTAGAAAGGTCAAGGACATATTAAAAGACATAATATTGATGAAAAGATTCAGTTTGCCTAAAATCTACCGGAGGATTAATATTTTGTTTGTTTGTTTTTTTATACTGATTTTTAGTTTTTAAATATTATATAAAGTACAACTTTTATAGGATTTTAAGTGCATGTGGTTAATAAGAATATCTCATAAATACTTTAAAAACTCAGTAATTTAAGTGGAATCCAGTGTATTAAACAAATGCCCGTAATGAATTTGTCATTTATACTTTTTTTCATTTTTGGTTTCGTTTAAATTGTTACTCTTTCGATTTATATTTCTTATCATTCCTTGTTTTGTCAAAATCCGAAGTTTTAGATAAGAAACTATAGTAACGAATGTAACTAGGACAAGAATGGTGACCTTAACACATATCAACTACTCCACCGTCATTGGCTGTCTGGGGCTTGGTCAGTTAATCTGATTTCATAGTTATTAACAGTGATGATAAATCCATTATTGACTAAGGATGTTCGCTGATCTTGATTTTGACTTTTTGTCAGATATTTGGATTCCGCTGGTTTTATCCATGTAGTTGTTTTAGCGATATTTTTTAACATTGTCATAAAGCGGGAGGTTTGGCATGCCATGAAACCAGGTTCAACCCACCATTTTTTCTTAAAATGTCCTGTACCAAGTCATATATGGCAGTTGTTATCAAATAGTTCGTTTATATGTGTGTTGGCGTTTGTTTTTGTTGCACTACGGTGTTCCTGTTGTTCTTTTGTTTTCCTCTTATAGCTGATGTGTTTCCCTCAGTTTTGGTTTGTAATCAGGATTTGTTTTCTCTCAATCGATTTGACTTTTGAACACCGGCATACTACTGTTGCCTTTATATATAGTATAAACAGCCTTTTTAAAAAATCTTATCAAATTCTTGTTATTGTTTGTTAGTTTTTGAAAGATAAAAGGTGCAAATGTTACATGTAAAAAAATCTACAGAAAATCTTTTCCCGCCAAATTTTCAATGGTATATATATCTCTGAAACGAGGACTCAGACGCTCATTTTTTCTGCTCTTTTATTAGTTTTGTTATATTTAGATAGTCAATTTGATATAAAAATCTTTCAAAAAGCTTGTTATTTTGAAACAGGGCAGCGAACATCCTTTAACCAGATTTTGAAAAAAAGGACAAGGATGTGTTTTCTCTCACAGACAATTCTAGAGAAAGGAGTGCATAGTGTAACACAATAAAGAAGAAATATCAAAAACGAGTCTTCTCTCTTCTGTGTTAAGTTTAATTATTGTTTTTAATAATTTTTTTTTAGAAAGTTGACAATTAAACATTTTTTAAAGTTTAATTGAAACATAAGAAAAATTCTTATAAATATTACATATCATATTGTTTTATTAGTAACCATTGCTATTTACCTAATTATAAGCAATATCACGAGTTCTCCAGCTACTAATAAAGAGATCTGTGGATATTTTGAAGTATTGGAGACTTTGTGATAATAACGCTTTACCGACAGTGAGTTCTAAACTACAGCTGTTCAGGACATTGACCAAGAAACGGATTAATGTTTAATCCTTAAGATTTCTCTCCAGTTTACACAACATGTTTCATTCAATAGATTGCATTCACAGTTTATCTATCTTCAATGTAATAGTAGATATGCGCCAATACATACTATTATTTGTATAATCATACTTGATAAAGTTTATATATATCACCTTATATGTCGTGTGCCAATAATAACATTTGTTAAATTGTACGTCAATGAATGAGTTTATGCATGCACAAGTTTTTACACGTGAATAAATTTGTTATTATACTGGCGGGATTTATAACTAAATTAATAAAAAAAAAAGGGGGGGGGGCTGCATGGGAATCAAGGAGAAAACAATATTTTTCATCTGTATTTTGTCATGAGAAAAATAGAAAGTATCTTAACGATTATTGAACCTGCAAGATTGGTAGTACTTCCTAGTATGTCCATTTCAAATTCATTTGTGTGTAAAGAACAATTTTTGAATACATGGAATTCTTCGTTAACAACCAAGATTGATAAATGAAACTGGCAGCACTCTACATTTTAACATATGTTTACAACGGTAACAATGATAAAATGGCTAATGTAGCCAGAGTTCCAACTCCCTTGAAGGCAAAGTTAACCCTGGGAACAGTAAATCTAACATATATGTTCCTGGTTAACCTTAGATAAATTTGACAATTCTTTTTATGTACTTTTTAAAGTCATATAGTTCCTAACATGTCTACTTATTTGTACACCCCTGGCTTTCACGGTAAATCCAGAGAAACGCTTCGGAAGCACTAAATTAATCATGTGTTATTTTCTTAATCTAATACAATCCATTCAATTCTTACTTATTTTTAAATCATTCGCTGAACGTCCACTGTGATTTACAATGTTGCTTTGTTACAGAAAAAAAATGTAAAAAAGGATAACCGAGCAATTGAAATACAACAATAAGACTAGTAGCCATTATGAATAAGCAATCTAAACTTTATTAACACCTACCTATCTTGTTGTTCACAGAATTGACCAGGTGGTTCTGTTTATGAGTATTTCGGTTTGTAGATTTTTGTCCAATACACATCACACATTTCATAAGATAGATTAAATCTTCATTTTATCACCCTTAATGAAATAATTCACTGTGTACAATACAATGTTTATCACAATTGATAAAATTGTATACAATTTAACCCTCTATGAGGCCAGTGACATTAATAAACGTTAAATTGCTGGCTATTTCATATTGAATTAGTTACTAGCAATGTTTACTAATATGCTTAATTATTTTGCATAATCAATATCTTTTATTTTAATATAAACTGACAACTTTCAAAATGTTCATAACTCTTACATAATTTTTTTAAAAATCTTTATTTTCAAGGGACAAAATGATTACAGAGTAAAGTATATATTCACCGTATCAAAAAAGAAAAGCCTATCAAAATCAGTAAATAAAAATCTGACTACAAAATCCTGCCACCATCAAGATACCATGAGGAGAAGACTCTATGTGAACATGTCAAACAAAGACTACAAAATACCAGACATCATCACGACACCATGGAAGAAGACACTTTGTGAACAAGTCAAACATAGACTACAAAATACTAGCCACCATTACGATACAATGAAGAAAAGACACTATGTGAACATGTCAAACAAAGACTACAAAATACTAGCCATCATCACAATACCATGAAGTGAAGACACTTTGTAAACATGTCAAACACAAACTACAAAATTCTAGCCATCTTCACGATTCCATGAAGAGAATACACTATGTGAACATGTCAAACAAAAACTTCAAAATACAAAAATGTACTAGCTATCATCACGATACAATGAAGAAAAGACACTATGTGAATATGTCAAACAAAGGCTACAAAATACTAGCCATCATCACGATACCATGAAGAGAAGAAATTATGTGAACATTTCAAACAAAGACTACAAAATACTAGCCATCATCATAATACCACGAAGAGACACTATGTGATATGTCAAACAAAGACTACAAAATGTCAGCCATCATCATGGTACCACGAAGAAAAAAATACTAGCCATCATCACGATACCATGAA